GGTAAAAAAACAAAATTGAAATTTATTAGATAATTATTAATTAAAAAATGTGACCACAAACTAAAAAATTAAAATGGATAAATTTGTCAATAAAATTAAAAAATTTTAATTCGTTAGCGATTTGGTACAAAAAGCTACATAAACTAACTTTTTCAATCTGCTAGTGATTTAAACCCTAATCGTTATCCGCTAGTCTCAAACAGCTAAATAAAAATTTTACCAAACAATTTAGTTGTAACGGTTTCGAAATATATAAATTTACCAAACACCTATATTTAACGGTTTAAGTAAAATCATTAACTGCTACCCAAAAACTACTATACCAAACGAGACCTAAGAGTAAAATTGATACGATATGTTTTAAATATTATATTAGGTTAAATATCGACAGTACCAACCAAATATCAATCATATTTGTTGTATTGATCGAGATTTAGCGTATTAGTTGGTGCACATAAATAACACATAAATAAAAGAATTTTTTTTAAAAAAAAGACCGGAACAAAGGAAAAAAACTTAGATGTAAAATGCAACCTAAAACATAATTTTGATTATACCTAAAAAAGAAAAAAAAGAGAACTTGAAAAATGTGAATTTCCTTTGAAGCCTAATAATATACATAATAAAAGACAATATAACTATAACAATTCTTAAAAATTGCAAGAATCTCTTAACTAACAAATATAGAGTTTCAACCTCAAATGACTTAACAATTAAAAATTTGAGATTCTAAGTTGGAAATTTCAAGTTCGAACTTTGAGTTGGATTGAGAGATTTGAAAATATGAAAGGCTATCATCTTTTATATAGTTTATTATTAGATGTACAAAGAAAAAAAAAAAACAAATACAAAGTTTCATCAAAATATTGAGCGAGAAAATAAAAGTTTTAAAGAGAGAGAGGGGAAGTAATATATATACATATATATATATATATTTTTGAAAGTGAAAATTATATTGATAGAATTAGTATCTATTCTTAGGAATGGGGAATGTTGAGCTTAGGACTTGACATAAAGATCACCAGATATGCCCTCACTTATTTCTTAACGAGAAGCGTGGCCATGGTGGCCACGATGGCCACACAGGTAAAAGGCAAAGCAGAATATGTTTGAGATTATTAATGGTCAGAAGAAGTAAATGCTATAAAGTTAAAGTATTGGAAGAATTTTGGTCTCCTACAAGATAAATGGGAGGTGAGGTCACACATGGTGGATTTAAATTCACTTATTATGGCAAATTAATTTTAATTTATTCTCTTTTTAATATTATATAAACATTATGATGTATATTTATATTTATAAAAAAGTATAAATTTATAACAATAAATTTAAAATGATACACAATATTATTTGGTATGGCAGTATATATAAAACGATACACTATGTTATTCAACATACAATACATACTATTTTAGTAGCAAAATCAATACACATATTGATATAATATTGACAACCTTGAATTTGAATGTAAGTCACATGATATATAAGTATGATGAGTTAAAGGATATATGAAGATTGTCTCTAATTTTACAATAAAAGATCACAAATAAAATAAATAAATAAATATCATTTTTTATTTTTAAAAAAATTGAGAATTTATATCTAATTTATATATTTATTTATAGAATTCTTTAAAAAAGATAAAATATAAAAATAAGCTCTTTATAATAAGATGATTAAATGAAATAGAATAAAAGTAAGAAAAAAAATATTTTTCTACTTTAAAAAATAAAATAAAATGTATTAGACTTAATTTTTATTTTGGAGCATTTAAATTTAGTTGTTTATTTTTCCTTTTAATTAAGGATGTCATTTAATGCATTTATTCTTATTTTACTTTTATTTTAAAAAGATAATCACAATAATATTAAATAA